AGAACCAAATGTGTATTCAGTGAATTTAATTATGTGCATTTCTTCCTTTTTGTTGTATACACTTCGTAGCTTAGTAAATGGTATTCCCAAGATAGGCTAGCAGTTTTAGAAGTAGTAACAGGAAACTCTTTTAGACTCAAGTTAAGAGTTTTTGAATGTATCAATACTATGTTTTTATCTACCTCACCCAAATATATATGTTAATCATTTATGAAGCTTGATTGACAAGGTTATATTATTGTCAAGTATCATCACATATGTGTTTCTTATGCTGGATGGTGTTTCTGTTCGAATAGATAATTTGGTCTTCTGTCCCTCTCTAACTTTCAAAAAAAAGTCGTTAATCCTCTGTTATTATCAAGAAAACGGCTGATCAAAAGTTTACTGTTTTCAATGTCATGCTTTAATGCATCTGCTCATAAGAAACAATGAAGTGAAATGTGATCGTATGTGATGTTACAAACAGTTTAATCATAGTGAGTGAGTAAATTAGATCGAGCTCGCTTTTAATATCAAGTTAAGTTAATTCGCTGCCAGTCAACGGGCTGCATTGGGGAACAACGATTGGATATGTGTCCCCCTCTTTTTGTTCACGCCCCACGTGAACTGCTTAAAAGTGTTGAGCTTTTGCCGCCCTTTAGTCTTTTGTTCTAGTCTTTTGTTCTTCCCTTTTTAGTTTTTGTCTTCTGCGTTTTGCGTGTTTGAGTTGTTCTTTTGTCTTCGTCCAACGTTTTGCAATTTTCTCCGTGTTTTTATTACTTGCCTTAAGCTCAGACTTTTCCAGAAACTTGGATGAAACCATACCCAAGTTTCTTTAAAGCATCAGTAGCAAGCTGCGCGCATAGAGAACCTCAGTCTAAGCCTTTTATTTTATTTTTGTTCGCTAAAGTGACTCCTGAAGATAATGTCGACTGGCCAGCGAAATTATTTTCTTAAGTTATTGGCGCAAATTAATCTGCAACCAAGCTAGTCCTGAACGCTGACCAGCATCATCTGCCGAGCTGCTTTGCCACCTGGTTCCGAAAGGCCAAGAGATCTGAAGTATCTAACGGCGCTGACGCGGTCCTGAAGCCTGAGACCATTCACGGCGGAGAACTCCCCGCTGAACCTTCAGCATCCGGTCCGGTAGCCACAGAACTTCAGCTGATTCATTCCAAGAGTGTCGCTGAGAACCGACATCCAAAGTAGGCAAACTCCTCGAAACTGTTGTGTCAACTGGGTGATGCCGTCAACCGTTCAGTAGCTTACTTTCCTAGTTATAATTTAGTTCTCCAAATTCCTCTTAAAATTTACCCTCGGAACGCCGTTAACGTAGGTTAAATTTCCCTTATTCACTCACTATCATTAACCTCCAGTCTTAGGTTCAATTTAAACCATTCCTTCGTTTATTCATTAGATGTTCTTTGATTTTCTCATTATTTGATCATCATTTATTGAAGTTTTGTTATCATATAGCTTGTTAATAAATTGTCCATTTAATTTTAAGTTGTCGTCTCTTAGTGGTTTTTCCAGAAAGTAGAGTCCCTGAATGAAGAATTCCGGCCTCAGATGAGAGACTGATTTAAATCTGTTTAAGACTGATTCAACGTTTAATTACTCAATTGAACTTTGTTTCGTCCTTTTCCCACCAGAAAGGTGGGTGGTGCCCCTTCAACGAGTGCATAAATGTCATAATTAAATTTTTATTAATTTTGGACATTTATTCTGAATTCAAATCGCTACAACCTAGTTCGCAAAACATACAGTATCTCTCCTTCTCTGGAGTGACATTAAACCTGCTTGTCTCCAGGGCTAATGGTAATGTTCCTGACCGTATTTGTGCACATAGAGATTGCTGTCTTCTGCTTAAATTGTATTTCACATAAGGCTCAGCAGTGTACCTGTCCTTTATGAGACAATAAGATCGCAACTTTATACCAATTATCATTACTCCACTTTTTTTTATATCTGGAAAACATTGTATTTCTTATTTCATTTGCATCACATTGTAGTTTATTTTGGAAAATAAAAAACAAACCATTAGAATAAAATAAAGATCTCAATTCAGTTGTCCAGGAGTTACCAAATCTAAAGTCCCAATTAAAAATCTTTTTTGTGAGTCTCTGGTCAGACATCTTCACCAGCCTATTCCATAGCCTAATCATTTGGCATTTGTGTCTGATGCTTGGAGGTTCCCATCCCATATCACCATTAATTGCTAACACTGGAGTCAATTTATGGACTCCCAAAAAGGATCTGATAGCTCTATGATGCACAGCGTTACAACTTGTGTTTCACTTTATTCATGACAGACCCCAGTGCCCTACCTGATCGGTGTATGACAACATTATTGACCTGGTTTGCCTCCAGTCTCCATTTCCAGCAACATTCTGCAGCAATGTCAAGCATGCAGATCACTTCATGTTCAGCCAGTAAGACGAGGTCATCTGCGTATAGCAATAAAGCTACATTTTGATCGTCAACTGTAATTCCCAAGCCAGAAGCTTTAATTTGAAGGGCTAGATCATTAACATAAACCGCAAACAAAGTTGGAGATAAAATATCTCCTCACCCCAAATTGCTGAGGGAACCATCTAGTTCTGTCATCATTAATCTGAACACAGGCAGCCGGTGCTTGGTAAAGAGACTTGATGGCATGATAAAATTTTCCATTGACACCTGATTTTAACAATCTATACTGTAGAAAGTCCCTATTAATCCAATCAAAAGCTTTAGTGAAATCAATAAAGCAAGCAAAAGTAGATTTAATTTGCTTGATTCTTACAGGAATAATAGTGGAGATAACATATGTGTCATCAATACAAGCTCTACCTTTCCTAAAGCCATTTTGCTCATTGACAAGAAAACCTGTTCTCTCAAGATGGTCTACAAGTCTACTGTTTAATATTGAGGAATATAATTTATAGATACAACTAATAAGACTTATACCCCCCTATAGACGAGTGGTAACTTTGGATCATTCTTTGAAGACTTTGGGATGGGTTTAATAAGAATAGAATAGAATAGAATAGAATATTCCTTTATTGATTCCCCATGGGGGAATTTTTTTTGTCACAGCAGCATCACAGACAAAGCGCAAAAATGCAGATCGTATATTAAGAACTTAAATAAATGTTCTAATTAAGAAAAAAATTAGAAAAGGAAAAAGGGAGAAGAAAAGATAAAACTATATACGATATACAGAATTTAAGTACCAGAAAAAAAGTGGTGGTGTGAGTCTAGTTTTATTGCAGTTTGTTGTAAAGTCTTATTGCAGAAGGGAGGAATGACCTGCAGCAGTGCTGTAGTCTTGTAAGGTGGGAGTCTCAGTCTGCTGCTGAAGGAGCTGCTTAAGGCCCCCACAGTCTGGTGCAGTGGGTGAGAGGGATTGTCCATGATGGATACAAGCTTTGTTAACATCCTCCTCTCACTCACCTCCTCCAGGGAGTCCAAAGAGAAGTCCTCGACAGAACTGGCCCTCCTGACCAGTCTGTTCAGTCTCTTCCTGTCCCTCTCGGTGCTCCCTGCCCCCTGGCAGACCACTGCATAGAAAAGTGCAGATGCTACCACAGATGCTTTCGTTCCATTGTGTGGGTATGATACCTCCATAGGAATTTCCCTAGATTTTCTTGGTCCCAGTTTGTTTATTTCCCTCCAGAAGTGTTGGGGATTATGGGTTTGTAAGTCATTAATTTGCAAAGAAAGACCTCTGTTAAAGTTTCGTTTTACAGTACGTATGCTCCTCATTTTGTCTTTTCTTATATTGTATCCTCAGTCCTTCTCTCATGTTTTCATTTTTACATTTTAGAAATTCTCTCTCTGCTAATTTTACTCTGTCCCACAAAGACTGAAGGTCTCGGTTCCAGTAAGGCTTATAGGATTTTCTGGACACTTTATTGGTCCCTTTCTGATTTGAATTTTGTAATGCTGTACAGATACAACTCCAGAGTTTATCATACCAAGCATCTAAATCATTTTGACAAGACATCACACCTCCTAATTGCTCAGTTAGATCCAACAATATTGTGTTGTACTGACTAGAAGCTAGAAACGACTGAGGGAGTCGTCTTGGTAATACATTTGCACTAGGATGCTGTGAATGTGACTCTTTAACAAAATATGGTCTCACTTGAAATTTTAACATTAGTAAAGAATGGTCAGGTAATTTACACCTATCACCCAATAGAGAAAACCCCTCATCCCCTACTCTCTCAATTAACTAATTTGGGGTGAAAACATTAAAAGTGACACAATTCTTTAAACCTTCATGTGGAACGATAATATAATCCACTACTGCTTTACCTTTAACTGAGACTGAAGTAAAGTTGTCATTGCCCCAAGGCATTCTGCCATTTAGCAGACAGCCCTTAACATCTCTCAAAAACTCAATGAGCATTTCCCCATAATTATTTACTGTGGTATCTAGATTAACCCTGCCGGGAATATTATCTACTTCATCAATGAAGTCATCAAGGTTACCAATCCGGCCATTTAGGGCCCCACACAAATATATAGCATCTACATAAGCAGACAATGTAAACATCTGGGCCATTAGAGACCCAAAGAAAAAATGAGAATCAGTTGATCTAGTAAATAGCAGCAGGTAAAGATAACAACAAAACAGTAGTCAGAATATCTATCCTTAAATTGAAGTGCAAGTATTCCTTCCACTGATTTTTCCTTTATTTTAATTTCATAAACCTCAAATAAAACATTCTTTATTAGAAATCCCACACCACCCGATCCTTTAACTGCACTGGTATGCATGGGTCGATTTTGACCAAACCAAGAATAACCCTGTACATCAATGACTTTTTTGTTTTTGTTTTGAATGTGTTTCATTCAGTGATATAATGTCAGGGTCATGATCAAATAATATTATTTTTCTAAGATCATTGTTCCACACAGTCCAGCCATTTATGTTCCAATGCACTAATGTGAGATTATCAGCATTCCGTACTTTAAACGTGTCAGTGTTTGTGGGTTCAGTTGTGGGGGTCCTGCTTGGGTCCTGCTGTTGGTCACGTTTCACCAGTCCCGTTCCCGGTCAGGAAATAATCCTTTCCACACGGGAGTTCACTGAGAAGGGTCCTGAAGTTTAAGTTGATCAGCCTCTCTGTGTGTGACTTAGTAGCGTGAATGAAAACTCGGCTAAACAGTTCGTTGTCCCTCAAATTCTTCTTACAATGCAGCACCGCTACTTTGTCCTGCACGGTTCGGAACTCCACCTTGATCACCCCAGGCCCCTGTCCTCGCGGTGTCGTTCGCTCCGCGATGACTATTTCAGGCACCGGGTCACATTTTAGCCCCTCGAATAATAAAGCATTTGCTCTCTCCCAAGGGATTTCCCCCTCGGTAAAGGCGAGGCCCAGAATTATGATAGATACATCTGATTGAAACTTGTTAACATGGCATTTTGCTTCTTCCAGTTTGGCCGTGACATGGCCAATATCAAGGTCAAGGTTTTGCTGCAGTAGGCTTATTTTGGTATCCATCTCAGCTTTCATCTCATCGTGGTTTTCCGCGATCAGTTGCTCAAGGCGTTTCACTTTACTGTCCAAAAGTTTTTCAAGTGAGGTATGCACCTCATTAATATGCGCTTTGAGCGTAGCACTCTGAGATTTTAAGAGTGTTTTAAACTCCTCCCGCTGCGCCTTGAGTTCTGCCATGATAGTGTTGAAATCATTGTTTGTGTTTTCGGTTCCTTTCTTTTCATCATCCTTCTCCCTTTGCCGCATGGTGCGGCCTGCTTTATCAGTCATAGTGTATACAACTTGTTTTTTTTTTTTTTTTTTCCAAAGTTGTTCACTATTGTCTCAGTATATGAACTTTTTCAACAGAAATTCTGGGCACCTCAGAACACAGTTTACAAGCCAAAGCAGATCTAGGTTAAATATCGAACCACACTGCCTTAGCCTGTCACTTTGATGTCACTTGGACCTGATGGAGCCTGGTGGTGGCCTGGTCCTCTCCAGAGGTTGCTGTCAGCCAGGCCTGGTCCTCTCCCAGGCCTGTTGCAAGCCTGTGGTGGTGGCCTGGTTCTCTCAAGGGGCTGCTGTTAGCCTGGTGGTGGTAGCCTGGTCTTCTCCTGGGGCTGCTGCTAGCCTGGTGGTAGCCTGATAGTGGTTTCTCCCAGGGGCTGATGTTTGCCTTGTGCTGGCCTGATCCTCTCCCAGGCCTGCTGATGGCCTGCACTGGCTGGTAGCCTGGTAGCCGCTGGTATCCTGAACTCACACAGGGGCTGCTAGTGATAGCTATCCCTGCTGGTGAGCTAGGTACCTCCTGGTGCCAGTCTGATGGCTGCTGGTAGCCTAAACCTGGCCCAGATTATTGGACTCAGTCCAATTTCAGTCTCAGTTCCATTTTTTGTCACAAAGTTTTACTTTGTGAGGTAAAATAAAACACTAACAACTCACTGGTGAAACTTTGATTTTGATAATACTAAGGATTTACTAGATTTAAGTCAGATTGTTCTCAGACTGTTCCTTCTGTTCTCAGACAATGCATTCAATACAACCACTCTCCCAACATCGATAGTACCATGAAGATACCTATTAAAAAAAAAAAAAAACAACACTTTTATCTCGGTTTGCAGGTTCAGATGTCAGAATGCATTCATCACTCATCATCCATCAGAGCTGTTATAACCTGAGAGAACCTGGATGTGCATTTTATCAAGACTAGAATAAGATTTTGGCTTCACCATCAGCATCAGGGTTGATCTTCAAAAGTAGAAATGTAGTATAAAAATGCAAAAATGCAAAAATTGAAAAATACAAAAACTACTAAATATAAAAACTATGGGGAGCAGATGGCCTAGCAGGTTAGCGCACCCCATACATAGGGACTACAGTCCCTGCAGCTGTCATGGGTTCGAGTCCGGCCTTGACCATGTGCTGCATGTCCTTCCCCCTCTCTCTCTATCGCCCCACATTTCCCACTGTCCTATATATAAAGGCAAACTCGCCCAAGAAAATAAAAAAAAAAGAAAAAGAAATACAACAATTGCAAAAACGCAAAAAACTACAAAATGACATGTCTTCTTTTTGGGGGTAAATGAATGTAAACACTAAATGTTGATGCTCATCTTATTGCATCAACATTTATTGCTCATCTTATTGCACGCTCATTTGGAAAGAGGGGTGACTCAATGTGAACACAACTCCCGTCTCACCAGGGTAACAGCCTTAATCAATAAAGTGAATTAGAGTTTAATTGAATGTGTCATTAAAGTCTCCAGACTAGAAGACCACCAAAGACACATATGTCAGAGTTTTTCCACAAACCCTGGTCTAACTAACTTTGGCCCATAGTCAATGCTCCTGAGGGGAGTTTAGTGTCAAACGGAAGCTTTTAAAAACTAAAAGAAACCTTATCAGAGGTCTGTTTTTTTTTTCCATTAAAATCAAAGCTCATTTGTCAATGATGTAAAATTATTTGTAAGTACAGACATTTGTTGAAAATTGAGTTTTAACGCCGCTTTGCAAACACTCAGATCTTAGCTGAGGTGGTTTGTTTGTCACATGATGCACCACCAACTGGCCTGCACTAAAAATGTCCTTTGGTCTCATTTCCAATGAAAATAATCTGTCTGTGAAAAAAGAAAAATGAACTTTTCAAGATATTTTAAAAGTTTAATGAAATCAGGAAATGTCTTCGGATAAGAAAAAAACAAGATAAGGTGAGTTTGTGTGTCTGAGTTTAACATAAAACAAATACAGCATGCAAACTAATATAAAACAACAAGTACAGATACGATATTAATGAGTTACATAAATATGTACAGTAACAGTTTAGGAGAGTAAAACCTGAAGATAAATAATAAGAGTATGAATGTGTGTTCCAAACTAATGACATGTATGTGGACTTTCCTGGTGAATGTAGCTGAAATGAAGACAAAGAAGCCTTTGATGAATGGATATAAGACAAATAGACTCACAAAATTTAAGTTTGTGCAGTGCAGGACAGTAGTTAGTGGTTTAACTTGGATATAAAAGAAGTGGCACTAATTCTCTTTTGCAACATTGAACAGCAATCCCACAAATACTGAAAATACTGTTACTAAAAGATAAAAAGTGTATCAGACAGAATAGTGTCATTAACCGGTACCAAAATCCTTATCTGACTCCTGACAGAAACTTTGACTTTTTAAATCACAGTACTGCAAGAGGTAAAAAGTTCATTAAAACTTTATTTTCAGAGTTTACGCCCAGGTTTACTTGGCCAGACTTCCCCATAGTCTGATTTATCCACCTGGATCGTCCAAACAAACACCTGCTCTGAGGGTCTGAAGGTCCAAACTGGCCAAACTTAATTAGCAGAGTTTGCAGCTCCTGACTTTTCAGTGGTCTAGGCCTGAATCCTGCATGAAAACATCCCGTCAAGTTGAGGTGTTAATCTGGAGTCTGAAGCTGATCCATGAGGACAATATCGGTGAGAGTTTGCAGAAGGATGTTTGCTGAATTAGGATTTGTGGAGACCTGTATACTGAGACATATCATCCCTGCCACTCCAGCCTCTTCATTACACTCCAAAATCCTGCAGCAAGTTCCTCCACATAAGTCAGAGCTCAGCAATATCACAGCATAGAAGAGAGAGAGAGAGAGAGAGAGAGAGAGAGAGAGAGAGAGAGAGAGAGAGAGAGAGAGAGAGAGTAGTACAGGAGGGAAAGTGAAAAGAGAGATAATTGAATTTTAAAATGACCTTTCATCGATTCAACAGCAGAGAGAAACAGCTGCACTCCAATGCGTCAAATCTTAACATTACATCAGCCCTGTAATGACCAAATAACACTGGGGGGGATCAGAGCAGATGACAGATGCTGAAAGAAGACCTCTCTGAAGCCGAGGGATTTAGTTCATCGGTAATAAAACTGTCATGGCGGTTAGTTGCTCAACATAGACCACGCAGCAGCTAAAGTCCCCACTGGACTCTCTGCAAACAGCTGAAGACGTAAAGCAGAATTCAGACATCGCCCTAACAACATCCCAGACAGGGGGATGTCAGAGGCTCATATTTACTGATTTAAGTGAAATTCAGACAAACCTGTAATCAATTCATCCTGAAGAATCACCTGTTTTCAGCCGAGACTAACAGTAAATAAAACTCCTAAAGCCTAAATGTAGTTCAGTCAGGATCACTACAGCCAAAATTAAATATTTATTACAAGCAAACATTTTTTACATTGGCAGTATGGCTCTGTTCTGATAGTTCCCTGTCCTTTCATGCGCTTGCGTGGAACGTAGTGCTGGACGATAATTCGATAACAATATATATCGATCGATAGACGTGTGTCGCGATAGAAAAAAAACGGGTCGATAAAAAGTTCGATAGAAAAACACAGTTTCCCTTTCTTTTTCATCATAGCCTATCATGTAGCTTTTACTACAGTCATTACTTCCTCCCAACCAATCACAAACGCAGACCCAGGTACGCTACGGCACCAAGCCCAGCCCCTATCAAACCACAACAGACAGCACGTGTATTAGAAAAAATGATACAGCAAGGAGAAGCGGAGGAAATTATCTCGAAAAAAGGGTTTCAGTAGTTCACCAGCATGGCAATGTTTTGGTTTTTACAAGTCTGACAAAAAGCGAACAGCGGTCGTTTGCAAAATTTGCAGAGAATTAGTAAAAACCTAGTCTGGTAACACAACCAACTTGTTCTACCATCTAAACCGATCGCACCCGCAGGAGTACGAGCTGTGTCGGCCGCGCCGCGGCTCCACGTCGTCGTCGGAGGAATCCTCTGGAACCGCTGCCAGCACCAGCACAAAGCAAGTGAAGCAGACCAAGGTGGACTTCGTTTCTTGCCAAAATACGACAAAGCGTCCAAGCGGCATAAGGACATCACCCACGCAGTGACAGGCTCCATAGCGAGGGACATACTGCCAATAACTACCGTTGAAAAGCCTGGCTTCGACCAGCTTTTAGCCACTCTTGACCCGCGATATGAAGTGCCCGGCCGCAAGTATTTCTCAAACACAGCGCTTCAGGCATGAAAATGGGTCAGGGGTTGAATTAGCTTCTTAAAGTGGAAGAAAATGAGCTCATATTTTATAAAGACGCGAGTATTTGGATCATGGCTACTAGCAGGGGGTGCGTTCGGCAGGGGTGCATTCTACGACACAACACCGGCGTGGATAAGTCCTGCTTCTCGTGCTCAGTTTGCGTATTAAGTCAATCACATGATAATTAAAAAAAATAAATCTCCCGACCCCGGGAGAAATGTTTCAGTGTTCAGACACCAGGCTGTGGGCAGTTTCCCACACAGTTAAAACTGGTAGTATGCTATTCCCACCTAAAGCTATTCTGTTTATTTATATATTTGTTTGTTTTGTTTATTTTCATCAAAAGACTATTTAAATATTTATTTATCAGATTTTCTGGTCACTTTAGTCTTTATGTTTGTCAGTATTTACTGACGTCACTCAGGCCACTTAAGTTGATTTCTTTTTTTTTTTTAAGTTCTTTTTTAAAAAACTTTCAGTTGTGGTAAAAAAAAAATAAAAAGGTGGTTGAATAAAGGTTTGAATTTGATTTCAGTGCTTGTGTGTTCTTTATTAAAAGTAGGTCATTAAGCAATAGCATAAAACATCCAGGGCTGCAATTAAAATATATGTTGAATAATTATAATAATTATATTGATAATTATCGATATCGATCAATATGATTTATTTTTTATCGATATGCTTTTTTTCTATATCGTCCAGGCCTAGTGGAACGCCACGGCTTTAAGA